GATATGCTTAAGGGCAGAGATAGGGTCCAGAGTGACTTAAACAAATTGGAGGATTGGGCCACAAGAAATCTGATGAGGTTCAACAAGGACAAGTGCAGAGTCCTGCACTTGGGACGGAAGAATCCCAAGCATAGTTACAACCGGTTAAGTAGTAGTTCTGCAGAAGAGGACTTAGGGGTTACAGTGGATGAGAAGCTGGATATGAGTCAACAGTGTGCCCGTGTAGCCAAGAAGGCTAATGGCATATTAGGAGCATTGCCAGCAGATCCACAGATGTCATTATTCCCCTTTATTCGGCTTTGGTGAGGCCACATCTGGAGTATTGTGTCCAGTTCTGGGCTCCCCACTACAAAAAGGATGTGGACGCATTGGAGAGGGTCCAGCGGAGGGCAACCAAAATGATTAGGGGGCTGGAGCATATGACTTATGAGGAGAGGCTGAGGGACTTGGGTCTGTTTAGTCTGCAGAAGCGAAGAGTGAGGGGGGATTTGATAGCAGCCTTCAACTTCCTGAAGGGAGGTTCCAAAGAGGATTGAGAGAGGCTGTTCTCAGTAGTGACAGATCGCAGAACAAGGAGCAATGGTTTCAAGCTGTGATGGGAGAGGTCCAGGTTGGATATTAGGAAAAACTATTTCACTAGGAGGGTGAAGCACTGGAATGGGTGGTGAAGCACTGGAATGGGTTACCTAGCGAAGTAGTGGAGTCTCCATCCCTAGAGGTGTTTAAGTCTCGGCTTGACAAAGCCCTGGCCGGGTTGATTTAGTTGGAATTGGTCCTGCCTAGACCAGGGGTCTGGACTTGATGACCTTCTGAGGTCTCTTCCAGTTCTATGGTTCTATGATTCTATGCCCAGCTGCTTAGCCAGAGTTAGTTTTAAAGGACATACGGAGCTTGCATATTACAGCACCTTCTATCACCTTTGGAAATCTAAGGATATGTCTACACAGCAGGGGTAAAGTCAAATTAAGCTACGCAGCTATGTTAATTGCGTATGGTAAGTCGAAATAGCTTAACTCGGCTTTAGTGCTGTCTAGATAGCAGGAAGGCGAAGGAAGAACACTCTTGTTTTGACTTCCCTTACTCCTCATGAAATGAGGGTTACCATCAGACAGAGTAAGAAGTCCTTCAGCTCAATATTATTTTGAAATAAAGGCTTGTAGTGTAGACACTCTCTTTGTTATTTCAGAATAACGTCAGTTATTCCAAAACAATACTGCTGTGTAGATGTATGCTGAGATTGTAAATAATTTGTATGGCTATGTCTACACTACGTCTATATCTATACTTCAGGCTTTTTGCACAAGAATGGCTGTTCTTGTGCAAAAACTTGTGGAGCGTCTACACTGCACACATGTTCTTGTGCAAGTAAATTTACAGTAAAGCACCAGAAGAGAGGGCTTCCTGTGCAAGAGTTATTCCTCTCCCCATGTAGCCTACGAGTTTTCTCAGCAAAAAATATGCTACTGAGGGACTCATTTGCATGAGTCATGATCTCATTTGCATATTTTCTACCAATCCGTTTTTGCGCTGGGGTTTTTGTGCAAAAACAAGTAGTGTGGATGTTTTCTTTTTGCACAAAAAAACCCTTTTCCCACAAGATCCTTATGCCCCAAAAAAGGAGGTGTACCAATCTTGCGGAAAAAGGGGTTTTTTTGTGCAAAAAGAAGAAGTCCACACTGCTTGTTTTTGCGCAAAAACCCCAGCGCAAAAGCGGATCGGCAGAAAATATGCAAATGAGATTGTGATTCATGCAAATGAGTCCCTCATTAGCATATTTTTGCTGAGAAAACTCGCAGTGTAGATGTAGCCTGTATGTATGTTTACCTGCTTTTAAACTTGCGGTTAACTCTTATTTTCTTTTCTTAGTTAATAAGTCTTTAGTTAATTTATTATAGGATTGTCTTTGGTGTAATATCTAGGATGCAATTGATCTGAATAAATAACCAGAACTTTGGGACTGGAAATAATCTGAATGTTATTGTGATATTTTGTGTAGAGGGACCATCTATCACAGAGGCAAGCTTGACTAAGTGACAAGATAGAGTGGAGTACTCTTATCTATGACTCTGTCTACACTGCAAAGCTTTTATGAGATACCATATCCCGGAAAAGCTCTACCATGTCCAAGACGGAAAAAAAAAAAAAACGAAAAAGCAGATGCATTTTTTTCAACATCCCTGTAAACTTCATTCTACAAGGAAGAAGTGATGTTCTAAAAGATGGTTTTTTCCGACATTTGGCCCCGTGTAGATATGTCAAATTTTGGAAAAGCCTATTTCAGAAGAAAAGCGGAAAAAGATACACAAATTGCAATTCGCAATTTGTGTATTTTTTCCGACTTTTCCCTGCAGTGTAGAGACAGCCTGACTACATCTAGGCTGGCATGATTTTCAGCAAATGCTTTTAACAGAAAAGTTTTCCGTAATTTGCCATTTTCGCGATTGGGGCTTTTTTGCGCAAAACAAATCTGAGCTGTCTACACTGGCCCTTTTGTGCAAAAGGACTTTTGCCCAAACGGGAGCAGCATAGTATTTCCGCAAGAAGCCCTGATTTCTTACATGAGATCATCAGTGTTCTTGCGGAAATTCAAGCGACCAGTGTAGACAGCTGGCAAGTTTTTCCGGAAAAGCGGCTGCTTTTGCGGAAAAACTTGCCAGTCTAGACACAGCCTCTGTGTCTCCTTGTTAAGGCTCTTACAATGCTTTAGGAATTCACACATTATTTGGTTGATGAAATCTAATTGTAAGAACTCACAACCTATTTAGGTTTGGCCTGCTTCTTAACAGATGGGCTTTTGAGACACGCCAGGCAACTTGACAATTGCAAAAGCCAAGAGAGTTAATAAGTTTTACAGTCTTCATCTGGAATCCTTAGGTGCAATTTATTTCCTAGATAAAGTAATTCTTGGGCTTGCACTAGAATTTTCTGTCCTCTAAACATTAGGGTTTTCATTTGAACTAGTTTGTTTAGTTGCTTTCCATGTATTCTAAGCCCTACCACAAAAAGGAGAATAAGATGCACATGTTTTGTTTTTGAGGCACTGAAATTCTAGTCAAAACTAAAACAGAGATGGAGAAATCCCAGGATTCACTCATACTGGGATCTTGCATTGCTGTAAGTCTTCATTACCTTTTACTGTATAATAAATAAATAAGTTGATAAATGAAGTATTCTGCATGGACATGACCAGTCTTTTTTAATGCTTCTTAATTAGATTTCATAGTTTATCTTCTTGTGAAGTTGGCTAGAGAATTAGACAGGCACTACAGTCTCTGAACAACTTCAGTAGCTAGCAAAACCTTGTAAGGTACCAAGTAGTGCTGAATGAATAGGAGCCAAACTGGAAAATAAATTGTTTCAAACAGAAATTGATTTTTAATTTTAGTGGAAAATTTTAATTTTTGTGTGGAAATTAATCTCTTTCCCAAAATTCATTTTGAATGGATGGAAGCTTTATTCAATGCAATTTTCTTATTCAAGTTTTTTGCATCAGTTTAGTTATTTTGAGTGTCTTCCCTGGGTGTATATATTTAATTGGAAAATTTCAAAATGGAATGGTATTTTAAAACAAAAAAATAAACCCAAAACATTTTAGCCTGGCCAAAATTAAATGTTTCCACTTCGCTGAATTCAGCCCAAATTCACAAATCATTTCAGAGCCTCAAAAATGTATTTTCCAGCAAAAATATATTTCTCAAAAATAGTCTCCCAGTAGTACTAGAGAGAGAAGCTTACAAAAAACAAACGAGACTTTGTTCTGAGAGGGTGAGGAAGAATAGCTTAGTTGTCAGGGATCACAGAGCACAATATGACCATTTCAGAGATGGAAAAATTACAGGGGGGCTAGTCATTTTTTCTTCGTTATGCCATGTTAGGTTGACACAGTTGTACTCCATCCTTCAGCTAATCAGGGAGGAGCACTTAAAGGCATATTATGCATGGCTTGCATGCAATGTTTAATTTGTAATGAAAGAGGTGCCAGGTTTCAAGCAATTAGGTGCCAGGGCTCAAACTTTTTTTTTTTTAACTTTCATAACTGATGTGGCAAACCCAGAGTTGCAGGGGCTATGTACTGCCAGGCCTGGAGGTGCTGGAGTTCAACCCTGGCAAGCCCTGGCGCAAATTAAGCAGTGTGTGCCTACCACAAAAACCCTGGAAAAAACTGACTTCTATTGGTTTGTGCTTTGTAGATGCCAAATGAAATTTTTGCTGAACTAGGACATTATTTGTCCAGAATCACACTCTATTTTTGGAATGGCCAGTTTATTTAGGGACCCCTATTTAAAAACCATTAGAAAAACAGCTTTTTATTTGACAAGGCAAGAAATTAAACAAAAGCCTATCGGGAAGTCAACGATAATTAATTTTTCTTTGTTACATGATAAAGACCTCATGATACAATGAGCAAAGCACACAAAAGACCTTGAGCTAAAAGCAAACGTTGTGAAAGTGGGTGCACCTGATTTTATGAAACCTTGTTCCATCGGAGTAATTCTAATAGTTAATTTTTGTTCTGCGAGTTTCCTCAGCATTTAGCTAATGCTTTTTACATACTATTGTAACAGACATTTGAAGATATCTGCATATTTATGTTCAGGTCTTAGGAGATCATAAGCATTTTCAGACATTTAAATCTTGGTACTGTAATGACGAAGTTGAAAATAGGATGGAATTGGAAGAACCATTCAGAAACGAATCAAATGTTGTGCTCCTTTCTCCTAAGTTCAGCTACAACTCCACATATAATTCTCATAGATGTACTTCTTGTCTCCATTCCCTCCTCCCCCCCCCGACATTTATTATCTTAATGCAAATGTGCCATATTTAACAGGCCATGGGAAAGGAGGAAAGAGTTTTCCCAATAACAAATCACTGACAAATGATCATACTTCCTTACTGAATAAGAAGGACTGCACAATTCAGATCATATTTGTGCTGTGAAATAGCCCACCAAACCTCTGCAGTCTATTTTGTTTTCCTTTTTCTGTCTTTGTTTTAAGGGTGGAATGTACGTTTTCCAGCTGTTTGATTCCTATGCGGCCAGTGGAATGTGCCTTCTTTTTGTGGCGATATTTGAATGCATCTGCATAGGCTGGGTTTATGGTGAGTTACTAAAGACTGCTACATTATTGTATGTTTATGGAAATCATTAACTTATTCATTGCCTTGATTTTGGGATGAGATTCAAAGTGTTATAGTAGTACATAGGCCCTTGTATCGTGGGTCTGTCTCCAGGGGCAGAAGGGAACCTTTCCCTGCCAAAGAGCAGGGCTTTCTTTCCCTCTGGGTTCCATGAGTGGTCACAGGGGTCCACCTTACTTCCTGGCAGAGAGGCAGAAGGAGGGGCCCAGCTCTTGTTTCCTGCTGTCTCCAGACTCAGGTAGATGTGGTTGCTTTGGATAGTCGTAAGCCACCTTTTTAAGCTTTTCTTTATGGCAATAAAAGCTAGAAGCTTACTTTTGGACAATTAAAGTAGAAATTATGAAAACACACAACCCCAGGACCAGGGGTGCTAGGCATGAGGCTGCAGCACCTATGCCTTAATGGAGCCCTACTCATATTGATATTGAGCAGAGTCCATTAACATCTGGCAGCTGATTGGTTCCTGCTTTCCAGTGTGCAGATGCATATCTCTGGCACTTCACTTCCTTTCCATCTTTGGTGTCTCATTTTTCAGGAAGCACACTGAATGTATTGCATGTCTACCTGGGAAAGGCCTCATCATAGACACATTCCTTCTAATTCTTCTCATTTCCAAGCTAAATAATCCTAGTCTTTACAATCACTCACCAATACATTCTATAGTCACTTTTGGTTTGTCTTTTTTCCTTGGCAGGCAGCAATCGTTTTTATGATAACATCGAAGATATGATCGGATACAGACCACAGCCATTAATTAAATGGTGTTGGATGGTCCTAACTCCTGGTATTTGTGCTGTAAGTATTGATCTGAATTATTTGGTCTGGAATACATAGGTTTTCTGCAGATTTTTTTCCAGATGTTTGAGGCTAATAAATTAGGGTATGTCTACTCTGCACGCTTATTTTGAAATAAGCTATTGTGGAAGAAACACTCCGAAATAGCTTTTTTCGAAATAGCACATCTACACAGGGAAGCCTTACAATTAGTCCAAGGCAGGCTTCCCTAATGTGGGTGTGCTACCTCTATTTAGAGCCCCAGGAGGCACTGGGGAGTAATTAGTTTGAATGGCCCTGGGGAGGAGCTATTTTGAAATAGCAGCAGTGGAACATCCACACTACAGCTATTTCGAAATAGCAATTTTGGAAAAGGCTTTATTCTTCATGGAATGAGGTTTACAGAAGTCGGAATAATCTGTCTGTTATTTCAACATTATTTTGAAATAATGAAATTGCTATGTAGATGCTGCTTTGTAGATGCACCCTTACAGAAATAAGAAATAATCATTGTGGTATGTGGCATGTATTTTATTTGAAGAAGCTTACAGTAGATTTGGTAAGAATTAATGTTAACTTAATTTGCCCTATGCTTATAGCTCTCGTGTACGCCTGCATAACATACGGCCCAAGGTGTGGCCCGCAGGGGCTCACTGTGCGGCCCGTGCCGACTACGGACAGCACAGCCCCATCTGATCCGCCGGCCGGGAGGAGGAGCGGAGCGCCACCGGGGAGGGGGAAGTGTGGCGATTCTCACTGCTGGGCTGCCTGCCTGCAGCTCCGGTGCAGGGAGGAAGGGTGCAAGCCAGAGGGCAGGATGCCAGCAGACGCCAGGATGCTGGCGTGATGTGGCAGCTTGACAAAAATTTTTAGCCCACGTGTTTGGTATTTTTTGGGAGAGCATCCTTACTTGCAGCCCACAGCTGTTTTCTTTGGAGTAATATGGCCCTCGCTGCTTTCCGAGTTGTGCAGGCCTTTTCTAGTGCTTTCCGTAACAGGAAAAAGCAGTACTGGAGACCTGTGATTCCATCACAGGTGAAATATTACTTGGCTCTGCTCCATTCCTGTACCTTAGCTCTGCCTAGCACATGTCAACCTGTTCTAATTCCTGCTAGAAAACTTGAGAGGAGAGCATACAAAACTTTAGCTGTTTACTTGAAAGATTCATACTCTTTGATGCTTTTCTTACCAGACTCCATGACAAGAACTTCTGTTAACTCCAGCAATTGTGTTTTCCCACTTGGCTCCCACTACCAAAGCACTGTCCACACCTTTGCTTTTTGTTGGTAAAAATTTTAATTGTTCAGGAAGAGACTGTTTTTTTCTCACCCTTGAGCAACAAAAGTTTTAGCGATGAAAAGTAGACAAAGCCTTTGTAAAGTGCTTTGAGAACTACATCTGAAAAACACTACAGGTGCTTCTTTTGCTGGATGTATTTATTCTATACCATTCCATAATGCAAATTCCTTAGTTACACATCTGAGATTTGTGCACACAAATATAAGCTTTTGCACATTCAAAAGATTCCACATGCAATATTGTAGGTGCAAATGTAGAGACTATCTCAAAACCAATAATGTTGCCCTTATTTCTAATAGTGACAGATTTGTAACTATTTTGCTCATTTCTCCTATCACACCTGGTTTGCCATACCCAAAATTGGAGAAGGTGCTGGACATGATATACTTTGATTTTTGCAAAGCTTTTGATACTGTCTTCCACAGTATTTTTTCCAGCAAGTTAAGGAAGCATGGTTTGGATAAATGGATTGTAAAGGGGATAGAAAGCTGGCTAGATTGTCTGGCTCAATGTGTACTGATCAATGGCTCAATGTTTGGTTGGTGGTTGGTATCAAGCGGAGTGCCCTAAGGGTCAGTTCTAGGGTTGGTTTTGTTCAATATCTTTATTAATGGTCTGGACAAGGGGATGGATTGCACCCTCAGCAAGTTTACAGATGACTTGGGGGAAAGGTAGATACATTGGAAGGTATCCAGAGTGACTTAGACAAACTGGAGAATTGAACCAAAATAAATGTGATGAGGTTCAACAAGGACAAATACAAGTCCTGCGCTTGGGACAGAAGAATCCCAAGCATTATTAGAGGCTGGGGATTGACAGGCTAAGCAGCAGTTTGGCAGATTACAGTGGCTGAGAAGCTGGATAATAGTTAATAATGTCAACAGTGTGCTCTTGTAGCCAAGAAGGCTAACAACATATTAGGGTGCATTAGGAGAAGCATTTCCATCAGATTTAGAGAAGTGATTATTCCCCTTTATTAGACAGTAGTGAGGCCACATCTGCAGTATTGCGTCCAATTCTGGGCGCCCCATAACAGGTGGGATGTGGATGCATTGGAGAAAGTCCAATGGAGGGCAACAAAAATGATAGGGGGGAGGTCTGGAGAACATAACTTATGAGGAGAGGCTGAGGGATTTGGGCTTATTTAGGCCATGTCTAGATCTCAGACTTTTTGCGCAAGAAGCTTTTGTCAGCGGAGATCTTCCGCAAAAACTTCTTGCACAAGAGAGTATCCACACTGCAAAAGCACATTGAAAAAGTGATACGCTTTTACGAAAGAGAGCGTCCAGACTGCCTGGGTGTTCTCTCACATGGAAACAGTGATTGCTATGGACGGAATGGCCACCAGGGCACCTGTGCTTTTTCCTCTTCCCTCTTCTTGCTCAAAACAACACTCTTCCCTGTTCACATGCTCCTTTTTGTGCAAGAGCTCTTGCACAAAAAGGCATTCTTGAGAATTACTAACTGCAAAAACCCCTCTGATCTTTCAATTTACTTGTGCAAAAATGCATTTGAGGTGTGTACGCTCCACAAATGTTTGCAGAAAAATGGCTATTTTTCCACAAAAACTCTGTAGTGTAGACATAGCCTTAGTCTACAGAAAAGAAGAGTGAGGGGAGATTTGATAGCAGCCTTCAACTATGTGAAGGGAGGTTCCAAAGAGGAGGAGAGAATCTGTTCTCAATAGTGCCAGATGGCAGAACAAGGAGCAATGGCCACAAGTTGGGGGAGATTTAGGCTGGATATTATGAAAAGCTATTTTACTGGGAGAGTGGTGAAGCACTGGAATGGGTTCCCTAGGCAGCTGGTGGAATCTCCATCCCTAGAGGTTTTTAAGTCCCAGCTTGACAAAGCCCTGGCTGGGATGATTTAGTTGGGGTTGGTCCTGCTTTGGGTAAGGGGTTGAACCTCTTGAGGTCTCTTCCAACCCTGTGTTTCTGTAATTCTGTACATAAAGCTGTGCAGTTATGCTTTGCCATCAGAGTTCAAGTTTTATTGTCAAATGAAAGGATTTACATTTGATAGATGGCTTGTTTCTGTGGAATGAACTGTGATGTTAATTCTTTGAGATGGACAAAAAAAAGGATATTGATGTCTCTCTCTCTGACTTCAAAGTTTTACATTATTTCAGATTCCTGTGTGAGAGTGGCCTGCCTGTGCAGTGATTTAATGTTTTCCCCGTTTAACAGACAGTGTGGCGTCAAATATAATTCATGTATTTCTTACCTTATTTCAGGGAATCTTCATCTTTTTCCTGGTGAAATATAAGCCTTTGAAATACAACAATGTGTATACATACCCAGACTGGGGCTATGGCATAGGCTGGATGATGGCCCTCTCATCCATGCTCTGTATTCCTTTATGGGTCTGCATTAAGTTGTGGAAGACAGAGGGAAACATTCTAGAGGTGAGAGGTATTTTTGGATTGACATCCATGTATGCAGGAGTGTGTAACTGTTCTCGTCCGATGACTAAGCACACTTCAGACAAAGAAAGAGCATTCTTTTTCATGCAGTGGTCCACGGAGCCATCACAGTGGTATGTCCATTTGTTTGCAAGCTGGAGGCTGTCACTGGCTGCAGGGTTATGCCCTATCCTCTAATGTTTCCTCTGACTTTCTCTCCCCCTGCAGCAGTTGGTGACTCATTGAGCCCTCCTTGCTTCAGAGCTTGTCTAAGGGAAAGCCTAAACTTTATTTCACATTTTTATATTAAAAATTCAATAACATGTCTATCTAATCCCCAGCCTATGGCTGCTTTTGGTTTTAGGGAGATGGTCTGCCATCTCTGCCTCTGTCTGTGTAGCATTTGCAGTGTCGGGTGCCCTTGCAAAGTTCTGGGGAAAATTATGGCCAAGAAAATCCAGTAACAAAAGGAACAGTCTGGCTGTGTCTACACTGGGCCACTTATTCCAGAAAATCAGCCGCTTTTCCGGAATAAGCTGTGAGCTGTCTATACTGGCCCCTTGAATTTCCAGAAAAGCACTGACGATCTACTGTAAGAAATCAGCTGCTTTTCCGGAAAAACTATGCTGCTCCTGCTCGGGCAAAAGTCCTTTTTCCGGAAAACTGTTCCGGAAAAGGGCCAGTGTAGACAGCCCAGTGGTCTTTTCCGGAAAAAAGCCCCGATCGCAAAAATGGCTATCGGGGCTTTTTTCCGGAAAAGCGCGTCTACATTGGCCACAGATGCTTTTCTGGAAAAAGGGCTTTTCTGGAAAAGCATCCTGCCAATGTAGACGCTCTTTTTCCGGAAATACTTATAACAGAAAACTGTTCCGTTTTAAGCATTTTCGGAAAATCATGCCAGTGTAGACATAGCCCCTGTGTTTCCTGCTTCCCACTATGTAGTGTCTCTAGTGTCTTTGGGCACGGAAGTTCCCTCACAGCCTAGACTGCTAGGTGGCCTCTTGCCCTCATGCTAGGGATAATCCTTGATGCCTGTTTCCCTGCTCCCATCTATTAATAACTGGTTAGGAATAAAGTTTTCAGACTGGAGAGAGATGACTAGTGATGTCCTGCAACGGTCTGTACTGAGACCAGTCCTATCCAACATATTCATAAGTGAGCTGGAGAAAGGGATAAACAGTGAGGTGGCAAAAATTGCAGATGATACTAATGTTAGAAACCAAAACCGTAGACACCATGTAGATTCAAGCAGGAAGGTTTATTACACACAGCGCTGGCGGATTGCCACCTTGCCACTTGGGCTCAGTGAACACTGCCAAGTAAATGATTACAAGACACTAGAAAGGGAGCTGATGGGCGGAGTGGAACAACGGGGAGGCGTGCCCGAGCCCTGGATAGGTTCTAGCAGAAGGTATCATAAGCCAATAAGAGAAAAAAATCTAAAAGATGACATCATAACTCTGCCCACGGCTCAGGTTAACACAATTGCTAAACACAAGGATTTCTCCCCACCCCTCCTCCCAAGAAGTGCAAGATAGCTACATTCCAATCAGGATGCATAGGAGTAGTTACGGTGCCTTCCCGATAGGTGATAGGTGTAGTCCATAGGTGCTTGTCGAGGGGGATGGAGCAAAAAAACAAAACAAAACAAAACGAGATATGCAGCAAGCAATTCTTTAAAGTATACCTTTGATAGATCTGCAAGTTGGGCTCGTGAAGAGGGGAGGGGTGCTATTTTGAGTTCCTTGGCAGCAATTCATGGTTGGCCTTGAGAGGGCAGTTGTCAATCTCTCCAGAGAATGGCCCAAACTCTGAGGCCCCTTCCAGGGCTTTGGCCTTGCATGGGTGTTTGACACACATGATATGAGAGTTTAGATATGCCTCCCTACCTAATATTCTTCTTCTTTGGCTCTCTACTTTAGGGTAAACAGGGAGGGTTGCTTTTTATGCTCATCCTGTTTTCCCACTGAAATCAAGGCTTTAGCTAGGCCGGCTATTCCTTATAGGTCTTAGGCCAACTGAGCAGTAGGCCTCTAGAAAGATTAGCCAGAGACCATAGTGTAAGGGCCCACTGGCTATGACAGAGGATTAAAACCTGTTCCTAAACTAAACTGCTCGAGATAGCTAAGAACAAAGCAGACTGTGAGGAGCTTCGAAAGAATCTCACAAAATTAGATGACTGGGCCACAAAATGGCAGATTAATTTTAATACTGATAAATGCAAAGTAATGCACATTGGAAAACATAATCCCAACTATATATACAGGCAGTCCCCGGGTTACGTACAAGATAGGGACTGTAGGTTTGTTCTTAAGTTGAATCTGTATGTAAGTCGGAACTGGCATCCAGATTCAGCCACTGCTGAAACTGATCAGTTTCAACAGCAGCTGAATCTGGACACCAGTTCCGACTTACATACAGATTCAACTTAAGAACCCCAGGCATCCCCAAGTCAGCTGCTGCTGAAACTGATCAGCAGCTGATTCCAGGAAGCCCGGGGCAGAGCAACTCTGCCTCG